CTGGGACAGTCAACCCTTGGGGTCGACAACCCCTGGGACAGTCAACCCTTGGGGGTCAACAACCCCTGGGACAGTCAACCCTTGGGGTCAACAACCCCTGGGACAGTCAACCCTTGGGGGTCAACCCCAGAGTCTGACGTATTACGACTGAGATTGTGCATTCCATCCTGGCCCATTCCAGAATCGAATGCACTGGAACACAAATGCTGACTAGATACAGATCATGAACCCCAGGTGCAGGACAGACAACCGTCGGGAGGGATCAAAGCTGCTGTCTTTATTTAACCCCTGGCACTGACAACCCTTGGGGTCGACCCCCGATTCTGACGTATTACAGTATTCCACCAGGATTCCGCATTTTTCGTCCTTTTCCATTCCCGAATGGAATGCACTCGGACATTTCCCGCTGACCAGATACAGATCATGAACCCCAGGTGCAAGGACTGACAACACTGGGGATCGAAGATGCCGATATCTTTCACTCAAAACACTGACTCTGTCTTCGGACTCTTTCACTGATAGAATTTTTCTTTTATTATTATTTTTTTTCACTCATAGATTTTTATTTTCATAATAAAAAATTAAAAAAAAGAATAATTTATCATGGTAACCGTCTTGACGTCCGGACCGGGTTCCAGACAGTCCGGTGTCCGGTGTCTAGGCCCCCGGGACAAAAATAAAAACAAAAAAGGGGGCGGCCCAGGACGTTTGTCGGGTCCTGGCCACCCCTCGAAAAATAACGGGGTGATTTTTCAGTGTTGTTTCACCCCACCGGACAGGGCCTAGAGGTCCGGACACAAGACACTGCAGGTTCTTGGGGTGGCGGGCTTCGCACAGGCCCGAGCAATTTCAAAGCGGCCGTTTCGACATGGCGCCCGCTGCTGCTGCCCGTTGGGGGGGGAGAGAGAGAGAGAGAGAGAGAGAGAGAGAGAGAGAGAGAGAGAGAGAGAGAGAAAGAGCACTGACAGTGCTGCCAGTCCGGAGACTCTGACGTTCTGAATTGAACTGTAAAGTTCGAACTTTTAAGTTATATATGAAGTTATGTACTTAAGACTCTGACGTTCTGAATTGAACTGTAAAGTTCGAACTTTTAAGTTATATATGAAGTTATGTACTTAAGACTCTGACGTTCTGAATTGAACTGCAAAGTTCAAACTTTTAAGTTATATATGAAGTTATGAACTTATATTACTAAATCCAAAGCTCAAAGTTAATCATACTTTTTTCAAAAAAAGATTCTCGGTTTCTTTAGTCTTGTGCCTGCTTTGCACTGTTTGCAACTCTGCATGTCTGCTAGTTAACTGTGCTGGTTGATTTGCTGCAAGACACGTGCTCCGCTGTCTGAACTACAGAAGTGCAAAGCAGGTAAGTGCCTGCCAACACCCCCCCCCCAACACCTGTTTTCTTTTTTCTTTTTTTCTTTTTTTCTTTTTTTTTGGTCCGGACATTTTTGCACCCCGGGGACTGGTCCGGACTGTCCGGTGATGTCCGGATCACCGGACAGTCCAGACCCGTCCAGACACTGGTCCAGAAGACAGTCCGGAAGTGTCCGTTGTCCGGGTCCGGGGTTACCATGTAATTTACTAATTTTATTTACTTTTTATGTCATTAATCACTAACCGCTTCTCAAGTTCGCATTCTATTAAATGAATTATTCTTTGTGAAGATTTTTTTTTTTTTTTTTTTTTTTTTGCATCCTCTACCTCCTTTTTCTTTTCAAAAGAAAAACAAAATACAGAACCTTAAACCACCGGGGGCGTGGTCCCACTAGCAAAGAGGATCGGATTGAATGCCTGCATCTGGACGTGTTTGTAGAGGTCTGCATCTCTGCATAAAACACATCCAGATTCGGGCATTCGATCCACTAGCAAAGAGGATCGGATCGAATGCCTGCATCTGGACGTGTTTGTAGACGTCTGCATCTCTGCATAAAACACATCCAGATTCAGGCATTCAATCCAATCCTCTTTGCTAGCGGGACCTTGGCCCAGTACATGGCTGGGCCCACCCAAGTTGAGAATCCAATTGAGACTCTCCTAGAAATTTGGATGCTTGGGACCGGGCGTCTGAAGGGCCAGTCGGAAAAAAAAAAGAAAAAAAAAAAGTGTCCCATAACATGGGGTGGCACTAGGCCCAGTCCTCAAAAAAAAATTAAAAAATCACGCGCCCCCAGCCGGGCCCTGTCCTGAGTGCCCTAACTTTTCGGAGAACCTCATTTGGATTCTCCAGATGTACTGGTGGTTCCATATCGCTTCTGGGGAGCGTCAATCTGGTTCCTTTTCTGCGGGCAACTCAAAAACGTACGTCAATAACACACTCTTGCTCTTCTCCCTGTTCTTGTTGAGATACCCGAGCGGGGGCGAGATGGTTAATGGATATATATATATTGTCACATCACTACAAACTAAAAGAGCGCACTTTGCGGAACAAAGAATAAAAGCAAAAAACGGGCACAGTGATAACATGCAAAAATAAAAAGAAAAAGAAAAAACAAGGACAGATTGAAACCATTAAATTTCTCATTCTTCTTTGAACTCCACCTCCACTGTGCCTCTCACGTGCAAGGCTCGCCACGTTGATGAAGTTGAGCGCGAGCTGCCCCCATCCCCGTATGCCATAACAGCC